GTTAACTGAAGCAGTTTAATGTGTAGCAAAGAAAGTTACTGTATGTTTAGCGTAGACACTGTCTAATAAAGAATGAAATAATCATTCATGTGTTTGGATTCCAAAAAAAGAGAACACAACCATCTTCAAGGTCTTCTGCTTTTTTTCATTTGCTAAATGTTGTAATGGCCCAAAACTTTCAGAATATACAGTTTGTTGAATGGTTTTGTTTTTTAGCAAAGCTAAGGACACAAGCCCTTTCCATACCTTGCATTTTGGAGTGGCTTTGGCATGGAAAATCACACCTAATTTTTATGTCTGCTTTTCCCAATTGCTACCAATGCTCCAAACCAAAACACCAACATCTCTCGATGAAAGGTACCTTTCGAAGCTGCTGCTTTGAACTTCTTTACCCAGGTATTGTATTGGTGGACCATTTTAGAGAGGTGCAAAAGACACGACAGGGCCCCCATTTTCTCAGTAAACCAAAGTAAATTCATCTCCTGCAAAAAGGGTTAGAACGGCTGTTCCACAGGTGTGCTGATGGAAGTCAGGTAACTGCTAGACTTGTTTTTCCAGCTCCACAACTGTGATAATACTGCATGAGAAGGCTGCAAAGTTTAATTTTTAATGTTTGGAAAATAATACAAGGCACATAGAAGGATAGAAATGTTGGCTGGAAGGGACAGCTAAAGGTCATCTAGTCAAATCTCCCATTTGCACCGGGACTGTTGCCAGCCCTAAATCAGGTCTTGAAAACCTCCAAGGATGGCAGGCCCCTGGGCTCCCTGCACGGCCTGTCCCAGTGCCACACCACCTTCCTTCTCAAGGTGTTTTCCTGACCATTGTCAACCTCTCTCGCCACAGCCAAAACGGCCCCAGATCGCTCGGCCTCTCCTAGTGGCTACACGTGCTGGACCCGGATGGCCTGGGCAGCCCTCTGCAGACCTGCTCCGCTTCCACAGCTCCTGTTCTGGGCTGGGAGCCCAAAAGGGGCCACTTCAGGAGCAGCCTTATGGTGCGGTATAGCAGAGAATGACTCACCCGGACCAGCCGGCCATTGCTTCTCCTCGTGTAGCCTAGAATATGGCTCGCCTTATTTTCAATTAAGCGTGCACGGTTGGCTCGCTCGTATGCAACTTGGCATCTGGCTTACTTGACAAAAATTGTTAAAAGATGGAAAAGTTCTTGTTAGCTTGATGAAAACATAAAAAAGCATTCTCTGGAGCAGCTGAGGAATGAATGCCTCTCACCTCCAGCTGGGTTAAAGTGGACAGACCGGACTCCTCAGGGGTACACCTTGCTGTGAAATCGCTCCACTTTTTTCTTTCTTCTGAGCAGACAGTGCTCATATTTTCACAGATGCAAAAGGTGAAGCCAAGCAACTCTGTCATTCTGCAAATTTATCAAGGAAGTGAGTGGCTTCTGGGTCAGATCACTAGCTGTCACTGCTCTCTCTCATCAGCTAGTATCATCTCACAGAGAAGTGAGGCATCAGCCTTGTTTTATTCTTTGTAGCCTTCAAGGTACTTTAACTGTGCAATGTCTAATAAAAAATAAAGAGCTAAAACTTTTCAGTCCCTCAAAGCAGTTCAAACGAAAGAATATTTCCAGTTCTGAAAGTCACATGGTCTGACAGTCTGCACTAAACTCTCATGTTTTCCTTTCCTAAATCAATCTCTAAGATACCATTAATAAAGTCATCAGCATTCACGTGTTTCTCGTTTGGAGTAAACCTGTTTTTCTAAACTTACAAGAAAATAATCACGAGGCTAAAATTTTGACATCACGTTGGCAAGCGCCTTTAAAATAACCAACAAGGCAGAGCACAGCATTTGCTGCAAGTTGGGAAACGGAGAAGAGGGTGGCAAAAGACTTGGCCATCAATAGACCAGGGCTTCATGTGATCACCTTTGTCCATATCTGCAGGCACTCACAACTGTGCATGACTCTGCCCACGCTTCCCTCCCGTCGCTTCCAAATTCGCTCTCGCCTGCCCAAGCCACAGGAATGCTCGGGCTCCCCCGTGTGTAGAAGATCCGTCCTCTGAAATGCTTGAAGCTGACTTTTATTCCTTCCCCCGTTTCAAAATGCTTTTTGTCAGCGCTCAGCTCTTGAGGAAAGGGGAGCCTTCTCTCCAAAGCAGAAACAGCAACACCACGCCTTGCTTACTAAATTCTGAAGCAGTAGTATAAAGTAGGGGAGCGCTGGCTTCGCGTGATAAAATTGTTAGTCTGCCTGCAGTAGAAGAGAAGGATTATATCTCATGAAATTGTTTCTTTTAGCTAATAGCGACAGACAGACGGTAATAATTAAAAGTTTTTCTGATTTACCTGTTTTTAAGGACTTTTTTTTTTTTTTAAATTCAATTTGAGGGCGATTAATTTGATCATCTAATTTTTTTTTTTTAGGACAACTGCAATTTTGCAACAATGGTATTATAACCAGTCTTGCTTAAACAATCCCTTCTTTACCCAGTTCTACTTTGCCTTCCTCCCCCTTCCCCCAAATAATCAAGGAC